ATTGGACGAATCAAACTATATTAATAGTTTAATTCAGCTTTTAACCATCGTAAGCAAAAAGGGTTAAGTGTTAAAAGAGATTTTATCTTTTTACCCTTAGAGTTTAACCCGATATTTCCTAAAGAGAAGGAAAGGATTAATATAACCCTATTCAAAGTTTTCACTAAAAAAATTTGAAATTTTTCGGATTTTATCAGAAATTTCAAGCGCATATTGAAAATTCTTCAAAAAATACGATTTTATTAGAAATTTTGAAATTTTCAAATATTTTATTAAAAATTAAAAAAAAAAAAGTTTATCAGAAATTTTACCATGAATTTTGAAATTTCTAAAACATTTTAACAGTAATTTTGAAATTTTGAAATTTTGAAATTTGACATGTCCATCAATATACTAGAAATTTAGTTTGAAAATTGTGTTAATTTTTTAACAAAGGATATTTTTTATATTCGAAAAATATGGTGGCGTCAGGTATAATTTTGGAATTGGTGAGTTAAAATCTCGTGTTAAAGTGATTTTAGTTTTGTTAAAATTAAAAGTGAAGACTCATTTTAGTCTTTCACAAAAATTAGAAAGTCCAAATTAAATCTAAAAAAAATCCTTATTTTTTATAAAATTTAATCGAGTCATGTTAGTCCATCTGATAATTTTTTTTTAAGTCTGTTTTTTTTTCTATTTTTGAACTGTGTCTAAACTGCCATGTGTACTATTTTTACTTACATAAACTTATTATTTTTAAATCCACGTAATATTATTTTTTATATTTATTTTAATTTTAATTAGTCATCAAAGAAAGCTGTAAAAAAATTTTTGCACCTAGCAAATATCTATTCTACCACTAAACGAATGTATTTTTCATGTTTTAATTTATAAATAACAGTTATATCAATATATTTTCTTATCATATTTTAATTATTACCAATACTTAATCCTGTGTAATCCTTTATTAATATATTTTTTTATTTTTTTATTATTAGTAATATTTAATACATTATATATTTATAAATCGTTTTTATAATAAATTATATTTTATAAATTATTTAACTTTTATTTTTTAAAAATATGTTTAAAATTTCTTTTCATATTCAAATATAAAAATATTTTCAAGATAAATACAATTTTTTTAAAAAAATTATTAAAAGTATTCATTTATCTGAAAAAAGACAACTTTTTAAATAATTTTTTTAAATGTTAAGCTCTAGAAAAAGTTACAACTTTTTGCATTTTTTATTTTCCAAATTATAAAAATTATTTTAAATTATTTTTGTTTTTTAAAGAAAAATATTTAATTTTTAAAAAAAAAATATATGTTTTTATTTAAGAAGTTAATAAATTTGTTTTAAAAAAAATCAATATTTTTAAAACAATTAAATAGATACTTTAAACTGGTTTTTATTTGAATTTAATTAACTGAATTGTTCATGCGGTTTAATTTATTAATTATTTAAATGATCTAACTTTTTATTCGATAAATTCAAGTTGGGGATATGGTTTAACTAATATATTTTTAAAAACCCTTAACTGAGAGAGAAGAATCTCTTAAATGAATCTCAGTTATTTAGAAAGATTAATATCTATTACTTTCTACAAATTCTTACTTTCATTATTCCTACAATCACTCATCCTATGTTTTGTTCCTCTTTAAATAGTTTCAACCAACGATTCTTCTTTATAAGTTTCACCTACTGCAGAAGAGTTGAACTAGAGAACATCACAATCATAATGAAATGGAGTACTCTTTTGCAGTTGCCAACATGGTGTTTATGAAAGTTTCTCAACTAGAATTATTGAATAGGGAAAACACAATTTTGAATTGTCATGTTCTTTCTACTCAAATAGGAGGTATGCATTGTCCATTACGTGAGTTCCATTGTTTTCCAGATGTCAAGAATTGGAGTCAGAGCATTTCTTGTATGGTGTCTCATCTTAAGATGCTACACTTAAGCAGTGACGAATGGAAAAACACAATTCGGGAAGCCATGGAGAGTGACTTGAATTTGTTTACTGCATTTGAGAATACTTTAAAGAGAGTTGGACAATGGATATGTGGAAAGTGTATGAGAATTCATGCCATGAATCGGCCTTGTCATCATCCGCATGGTCTAGTTCGGGTTACTCATGGGATAGAAAAGGTCGAAAGTCACATTATGGATATTGTAAAACCATCTACAATAGACTTTGATAACATTGATGCAAATGAGGGGATTGTATTGGACGCAAGGTTGTTAGAGAGAGTCTTCACAACACATATCTTCATTGTAAAGAGCATACATCTTAAGTGTTGTCTTGCTTTTTCTCAGGCATTGAAGGATGTGCCCCTCAAGGTGGTTTACTGAGCTAGGATCTCTAGGTGATTAGATTCGATAGTAACTTCTTCTTCGTTGCATTTTATAGGTGGTCTAGCCTTAGAATATACGAGACCACATATCTAGGAATCAGAAGGTCTTGCACAAACATCACATTTTTGGGTGAATAACTACTTGAAGGGATGCAAACGGTCTTTCCAAATTAGTTAATAATGTGTTGGACAACTCTGAGTGAGATAAGTTAGGTTAGAGGGAGTTCATATTGAGGAGAAAGATGCAAAGGTGAGCTCTAACGTCAATCAATGCCTTCGTAAGGTTGTAGATGATCACTTCACATTTGTTGTGAAAGTGTTGAGGTCATCTAGTGTAGCCCCATATAACGCAGGCATGGAAAAAAATTCTGGACACAATCGGACTCAGTTGCTCCCATCCAAATCTAACAAGGAAAAGCCTGTTTAATTAGGGGCGGGGGGGGGGGGGGGGGGGGGGGGGGGTGCAGAGAAAACTCGATTTTTAATTACGTGGGTGGGGGGAAGGTATGCTAATACACGCCTCTCACCCGCCCCCGCACCACACCCACCTATTAAAGTTAATTTATTATCCTTATTTTTTATAACTTTATTGTCCATTAACCTTTCTTAATCTTAAAATATCATATTTATTATAATTAATAGTTATTTTGAAAAAAAAATACAAATTAAATGAAAATGGTAAAGTATTAAAATTATTCTTAAAATGATCAAATGTTTAGTTTAATTATTGTTTCTTATTGTTATGCAAAAAATAAATATTTAAAAAAAATAAATTTTATGCAGTGGGGGCAGGGGAGGGGGCGGGGAACCCGTTCCTTGTTAGGGGAGGGGACAAGGGATAAATTACGGCCCCCAACTAGGTATGGGGAGGGGGGCGGGGCTGGTAATGCTTAAATCCACCACATTCCCGCCCCATTGTCATACCTAAATGCACATATCATGAAGGCTTTGGAGGCTAAACACCCATACAAACCACCTCTCTCCATACCAACCACCTTGTTCTCTAAAGCTCCTATAGTGGCTAATGTTGATATTATCTTCTGGTGCATTAAGTCATCCCCCAAAGGGATTCATGTGGTAGATATGGTTTGCGATCATAATATTTATTGGATGCACTATGTAGAGAAGGTTTTGTCATGTCTAGAGATATCTTATGTGCCACTTTTGTTGATAACTTATGGTTGGGAATGAGATTCTCAATGAGTTTGGCAGAGTTTGTTTCCTCTGCACTCTTAAGATTGTTATTAAAGCTTGATGGTGGGATATGACCAATTGTTGTGGGTTCTATTTGGATGTGTTTGCTATTCAATGTTGCAATGAAAATGGTCAGTAAGTATATTGCACGATATCTCAATGATTTCCAGTTTGGGGTATGGGTAACGAGTGGTGTTAAGGACATTTTACACGGTGCCAATAGGGTATTAAGCAAGTGACATGTAGATGGTGTGATACGGTGGAAAGAACTGACTGTTTTTTGGAATGTTGGCTTGCGTTTTACGTTTGTATTCGCAATATGACGCGGTAAGCAAGAGTCGCCACCGACTTTTATTTTATCCAACAAGGAAAGGAAAAAGCACAGAAAAATTCCTTTTTCGAGATATTTCTCGGGTTCGGGGGGTAGATTATAGAAAGGGAAGGTGTTAGCACCCTTTCTATCCGTGGTTATCCACGGGCTCTTAGGTACTTGCTCAACTGTTTTCAAAATTGCTTTCTTTGTGCTTGTGGGTTTGAAAAAGTTTTTGTTTTGAAACTTCGATTTAACTCTTGCTTCTGTCCTCAAGAGTGTAATGAAGTGCTTTGAAAACTTTGTTCGAAAAGTGTAAGTGTGAAGAGTTTATTTTTTGAAAGAGCAAGTATCTAAGAACCATCTACCTACTCGAAAAAGGAATCATTCTATGCTATTTTCCTTTAGGCAATGTTATCCTACTATTGATGAGTAGGTAGCACCGTCATTGTAGTTCGAGGGTCAATTCGAATTAGGGACTTACGGTCACTAAAGCAATGTTAGGACGCCTTAGCGGTAACCCTAATGTCTTAGATCATTTGTTTGAGGCAACAATATCTGAGGCAACCATTTCGAGGCGACTATGATCTTTTAGACAAGAGGACGACCTCTAAAACGACCTATACTCAATGACCGCGTACGAAGGCAACCAAGTTGGGTGTACCCTAAGAGTGCGCATGTGCGAGTGTGTTGTTTTTCAGTTATTTTATCTTTGTACATGTCAGGGGTGATTTAATTTGATTTTAAGATTAACATTCAGTCTTGTCATGCAAACCTATTATCAAACATCTAACAGTTATAATTTGCAGAAATAAAATGCGGAATTTAAATTACAAGGCGTCGGGTATTTACATCGCCAAAGACAAACCCTTTGAAAAATAAAATAAAGCGATAAAAATAATAGAATGTCCTATTTAACTATTACAATCTGAAAGCAGGTACATTATTGAATAAGAAAAAGTAAATCGCGACGCAAAATTAAATCGAGCGCATGATTAGGGTTTTGACCCTTTTGGTTAAAGAAAAATCTTTTTTAAGTTTTTGTTGTTTTTATTTAAGGGAAAGAAATTAAACCTAAATTAAATTAATGAATTAATTAAATGAAGAAAAAAAAATATTTTTGGAGTTTTGATTATTTTAAGGAAGAAAATAAAATTAATTGAATTAGTAATTAAAACCTAATTAAATATAATTATCAAAGCCTGAAATAGCCAAAAAATCTTGTGTTATCAAAGTTTTGGATTTTATATGATTTTATTTGATTTAAAATGAATAAATTCAATTAAAAATCAAATTAAATAATAAAAATTAAATATGGGCTCATGGCTGAAGCTAGGACACGTGGGCAACTATGCAAGCTCAAATCAAGTGGAAAAGAATGGGCCCATTTGACAAAATTTGAAGTTTTGGGGATAGTTGACTTTTGGCAATTTTGCAAAAAAGTCCAACTTCAACAATGCATAACTTCTTCAATTTTGAACTTTTGGAGGTGTTCTTGGACTTTTTAGAAAGCTTGAGATGTCCCCTAACCAACACTTTTAGTCTCATATCATTTTGATATTCCATGCTCAAGTTATAAGCTTTGGAAAAAATGTGTTTTTGTTGACTTTCAAAAATGACCTATAATGTCCAAATTTATAACTTCTTGTGAGTGAATTTTTTGATCTTGGGGTATGAAGATGTATTGTAGTAAATTGAATCCCCTTAAAAATGAGCTTTGGATGGGTCATTTCTCATAAAGTATGAGAAAGTTATGCTTGGTAAAAGTTGAGTTGACTTTTCCTACAAAACCTTAATTTAGCAACTTTTGAATCTTGATGAATTTTGAGCAATCCTTGATGAATCATGATCAAACCTTGATCAAATGATTAAATATACTTCAAAATGAGAATTTTGGCAAAAAATCTTGAAATTTGACTATTTGTAGGTCACATTTGACTTTTGCCCTAGCACAGTCGATTTTTGGACCTTTGGGCATTTGACTGAGCAAACTTCCTCTGCAAGGCTTGAAATTTGACATGGATGATCTTGAGAGCATATTAGGACATTGGTAAGCACTTGAGTTCATTTGGACTCAAGGATCTTGATGCAACACAAAACCCTAATTTGGGGTAGACTGCCTTAGGAGACAACTTGTCTGTCCAACTCTTGAGCAAACTTGAGCAACTTGGAGATTTTTCTTGCAATGTTTTGAGGAATATGAGAGGGAAAATTTTGGGATACAACAAATGGCTCTTTGACTATGCTCGTGGTAGATTTCATGAATGCTTTTAACATGGTCGATCAATCATCCATATTGCGAGATGTGAGGTTAAGATGTCCATTTATTTCCTTGTGGGTTAAGTTTCTCCATGGTAAGACAACAAGGTTATACCTTAGGGGTGGACATATTATGTCAGCTACAAGAGTGGAATAAGGTGACCCGTTAGGGCCTCTCTTTTCATCTTGAGTTATACCCACTTATTCATTAGATCAATGACAACTGTAAACTTCTTCTTCATGCTTGATGCTGATGCGGTAAAGCGGAAAGCAAAAGTAAGTATTTATTTTAGGGTGATATAGGTTATATGGTATCGTCTCTATAAAGATCAGTGCTAGTGAATTGATATTCGACAATTTCTCGCATTTATGAGTTTGGGTTTAGAATGGGTTTGAAGTAAATGCGGAAATTAAAAGGTATGAACATAAAAAGAATTCATTCTTAGGATAAGAGACTTATCAAGCATGAATTTACACTACTCAAAACAAACTTAAACATATCGATCAGCCACATTCAACCTACAATACTCGTCAAAATCATCAAGTGTCTCTCGAAATGTTCCACAATAGAGGATATGTCTAACGCAAAGTTGGAGACAACCGTATTACTCGCGTTGACGATCTCTCAGCATAACACAAACAACATGGAGACATTAAGTTCTAATACCCAGAGTGATTATTAGCTCTAAATCTATCTCTAGAATCTAGAAACTAATAGATATCCATCCCTAATTAAGATTTGTGAGGTATATGTCTATAACAATCCAAATCCAAACATAAAGCAAAAAGATTAAGAAAGACATCAACAATAATTTGTAAAGCAAACTTTATACAACACCGTGATCAATACACATACATATGTTCAAATTAAATATACAAACATAACCCAACAAATAGAGAAATAAATAAAGAGGAAAAGAGATAAACCACAAATATTCCGGTTTGTCAGCGTCGGTCAATGAGAAATCCACATCCAATCATCCGTAAGCAAAGCCCTGATGTTGATTTCTAAGTTAAACCTAAGGAAAATTAGGTTGATGGAGTTGGGAGAACAAAAATCACCCCCCAAAACCATAACCAAACAAAATGAAAAGGAAATATAAACAAATTTTGATCTTCATGTGTCGCCCGACGCTTTAAAAACATCGTCTGACGATGGTCCTTATTACACTTTGCCCAGGTTGTGCCACATAGGAAACTGGGAAAAGTATCTTTCATCGCCCGACGAATGAAATCGTCGCCCAATGACACCTTGATTCCTCGCCCGACGACACAACAGCAAAGCAGGCAGAGTCAACTGGAAAATTGATCCAACCTCATGCCCCTTCGTCGCCCGGCGACGCAGATGCGATGCTCTCCGCCAGAGCATCGCCCGATATTGCACACCAGAACATCAACTTTTGTTGCTTTCTATGCACAACATCAAACGGCTTCCTATTTTTCCTTATTCCTTTATTGGTCAATTGCACATCTTGGAGCTATAATTAGACTTTATTCTCAATGCTCCAATAATGCTTAAATATCTACAAAAATAAATACAAAACTGTCAAACGATATACTATGTATACGAAAACACAAACACATATATAAACTAAATGAATTTACACATAAAGTCAGGTTATTCAACTGATATTAACAACAAAAAATCGATAAGTGCAACAAAAAGTATATACAAAAATAACTATAATTTGCACTTATCACCTGATATCTTAATGATGTGACCATCATAGTGAATTTAGAGGATGTAACTAAAGCTCTTAACTTCATTTGGGAGACTCGTCTAAGATTAGGTATCGAATTGAATATTCATAAAAATTGAGATCTTTGGCCTTCGTGTGGTGGTAATAATCATCGGGAAGAGTTGTTTCCTTCAGACATTGGAAGCCCGATGCTGGGGATGAAATTCCTTGCAGGGGATGTTACTAGAGATGAAGGCTTTACCAAGGGGTTGTCCTCGAAGAAAGCGGTCAGAGTTTTTGAGTTAATGCATCTTCTTCCATAACTAAGGGATCCTCATAGTGAGCTTATTCTACTTTGTTCTTGCATGGGTATCACCAAACTCTTTTTTGGACTTAGAACGTTTCAACTTAATCATATGGAGAAAGTGACTATTTGGTTTGATAAAGAGTTACAAAGGATGGTTGAAGACATCGTGCTTGGTGAAAGTAATTTCTTCGGAGACCTTCAATGGATGAGGGTGGCTTATTTACCTATTAGAGTTGAGGGATTCAGTTTATACTCCGAAGTAGAGGTTGCCTCATACACATTTATACATATCATATATTAAGAGACAGTGGGATATATGATGTGGACCTTGATTTTGATAAAGATTTAAATGGCCTTAATGTTGTGATTCCAGATTTTGACCTTAGCAATTTTACTAGAAAGAACACAGTCCCTCCTAAAGCACAACATATTTTGGCAAGCGTCATTTTTAGTAAAATTGTTCAGGACATGGATGTAAAGTTTGACATGACCACGAGCCAGAAAATAAATTTTGGTTGTTTACAAGCTGCACATGCTAAAGATTTTCTTTGTGTTATTCTTATTGATGGTCTAGGCTAACATATGTCCCCGGTAAAGTACAGTAACATCCTTAAATATTGGCTTATGATTATCTTATTTCTTATTTATGAGGTTTCCCCTTTTTGCTGCAACGTGTGTTTGGATATATTTGGGAAACACACCATTCGTTGTAAGGAGTTTCTAGGATTCAAATACCGACATGACTTTGTTAGGAATGTCTTATTTTACATATTTTAGTGTGTCGGGATATCTGTGAAGAAAGAGGCGCTTGTGAATTTTTTGACTGATCTGCATGAGGGGAGATTAGCACTTAGACCAACAGGTGTTCTGGTGTACGGGTCGGTTGGAGGAAAATATGCATGTGCATACTTAACTTTGACTTGACTGAGGATTTGAGGTTTTACTGTGGGACAGACAACTCTCAAAATCACTTCAAATAAAGTGGTCAAACATGAAAAAACGTGTTCCGACAATTAACATGCTTTCATACCATTTGTCTTTGACACTTTTGATTTTCTAGTACTAGAAGCAATGGATCTTTTAGAGTGCAAAGACTCTTGCATTATAAAGTTGTGTCTCATAAGACAATGAATATAGTTTTTAAAAAGATTGGTTTTATCATCCAAAAAATTACTCATTTATTTGTTATTTCTGTATAATTTTAATTTTTTTAATTTTTTAAATTCTCTTATGTAATTTATGAAGAACAACATATAAAATTATTACATGTTAATTGAATACCTTTGTCTAAAAAAAATTAGTGGTTATTTTATTTTTTGGTCAAGTAGTTTATTGGCTGAAATTTACTTTAAAAAGATGAATAAGTAAAGTGTTGCAGATTCAAACTCGCGTTTCTGCGTCTGAAATTCTTGCATAGATATCAACTAAGCTAGTTTAAGTGGACAATGTTAATGGTAATTTGTCAATGATGAAGTTAATGTCCGAAAACATCTCCAAAGCTTTGAATATTCTGATTTTGTACCTACATTAACGGTCCCTTGTATGGCAATCTTAGGAGACCACATTCTTTCTTTAATGAAAAGAAGAAAAAGAACATCCAACACATAAAACCTTTACTTTTTTTTCTCTTTATACCACTTACATCACACTCATTGATAAACCAACTCTTTCATCAAAGTCATTTAATTCTATATACTTGAAATGTGAAAAGCATAAAGAAATTAGCATGAACGTTGAACACTAAAGCTGTGATAATTTTCAAACACAGCTCAATAGAGGAACCTTCACCCTTAAGATACATTGCAAAAGTCACAGACCAAAACAAAGTAATCACCTGTACAATATAGATTATGCAGGAGTAACATTCAACAATAGGAAAACCATAGAGTCTAATTTTCTATTGATTACATTACATATGAACTATAAACAGATTATTGACAGCAATTTACATAAAGTGAAGAAAAAAAAACATGTTCTTATTCAGCTCGGCTTCAAGGAAAAATGGTGTTATTCGTCGTTGTTGTTTATCTTGATCTCTAGAAGTTGCTCGATAGGTTGGCGGCATATAGGGCAACTATTTGATTGAACACGCAGCGCTTTTGCACACTCGCTGCACATACACTGAAAAATGCAACAAAAGTTGAATAAAAAGAATCATAATATACATTATGCGAAAACCAAACAACTAGACAAGAAATTGTACCATGTGCCGACAAGGTAAGACAGCGGTATCCTTGGGCTCAGTCATGCATATCACACACTCTTTTCCAGGATCATTACGATCGAAATCAGGCGCTGCTGAGTTACCAATTCCATATAACTCTCGTAGTTCATAACGAACTTGATCGATCCACAGAATCTGCCTAACTACTTTAACCTGAAAAGGACCAGTTCCATTGGTTTTCTCCAAAACAGCTTGAGTTATTTGCATATGAGGGGATGCATCTACAGAGGAACTAGAGGGGGTTTCGTGATCTGCCAAAGGTGTTGTTTGGGCGCATATCACAAGTGGAAACACATCTTCCTCGGGCGAAGGGTTTGAAAGATGATCCAACTCAAAGAAACCTAAGTCAATTCCTGTTCCTGAAGGCTGGCAGAATTTCTGACCAACTCCTTTCTGGAAGGGGAACGTTATCGGCTCAAACGCTTCGGGAAATAGAGGAATAAACCTACATTTATGTTCTTCTTCTTTCGCTAAGTAAAGGATTGTAATTCTGGGCATTATATTAACAGGAGCGATTTAGTTAAGATAAACAGAAACTAGCAAACTAATTATTACTCATTGAAGAAACTAGACAAAGGTTGGAGCGAACGACGAACCTGCCATCATAAATAGCGTCGAAAACAAAGGAAACCAAGTGGTGATCGGAATTGTTGGGATCCACGTGGAGCTGTAGAGTATGTTTATGCAAATTGACATCATTCTTTACCTTCTTTGCAGTTTCATGGTCAACGTACGGTGGTTGAGCAACATGTACATTCAAATCTACTCCGAACGGTTGAGTATTTGTTGTTGTGGTGGCTGCTGCTTCGTAGGAAGGTTGGTGAGGGAGATTTGAGTAGAAGTGATGAGAGTGAGGAGGAAAATAACCTTGAGGAGGCTGTGGCTGTGGCTGTGGCATGATAGGGTGAGGTTGAGAAGAGTATTGATAATAGTAGGTTGGAGGAGGAGGTGGGTAGTGTTCATGGTAACTGTTTCTTCTTCTGTTTCTGTTATTATTGTTACTCCATGAACCACCCATCTGTCTCTCAATTAGATTTGGAACAGACACTGACACAAGACAAAGATGTTGTGTGTCAATTCCACTCTCCAGATCCAATTTTTCTTCTTTTTCTTTACAAAACACTACTTGCAAATTTTTAATCCTTGCTTCCCTTTGGAATGTATATTATTTTAAAAAATGGCATTGTGACAGAAAAAAGAAAAAGCCAAAGTTGATAAAAATCTTCAATATTTTATTGTAAACACAAACGTGGCTTGGTGAGATTTGAAGATATTTTGAAAGAACTAATCAAAACAGGCCCATAGTCTTGAGAATAACTTGTGAAAGCTCATATAAAATTGCGACTTCAAATAGTTACAAGTGCTTTTCACAAAAATTTGTAACTGATTTGAAGATTTCCTCATCAAAAGAGTGATGACAAGAATCAAACATTATCTTGAATTTAGCCAAATATTTTAGTTATTTGCTTACGAAAATGAGCAATATTAAAGTGATGGATAAACTTGTAGTAAAAAGACATGATCTATGTTTTGTATTGACTATTGAGCAAAGGTAGAAGAAGTCTAAGAAATAATAATAATACAAGGGGCAAATAAAGTATTACAAGTTGTTCGATTTTTCTACACCAAATATTACAAAACTCAAGTCTCGGTGCATAGCTCTTGCGAAATTAGTAAACAGTAATACAAGGTGGAGAAGTTAAGCCCTTGGAGGGTTTCAGAACACATAAAACAAAATGATTCCGACAAACCCTCTCGATGATAGAATTGAGGTTCAATCAGTCCCCACTTGCACAACCCTTGCAACCACAGTGGACACACTCTATAACCTTCTCCTCCCTAAGATGCTTGGGCACTCTGCAAACACAAGTCGTGGCATAATTGTGATCGCGCGGCTGCATGCACCTCAAGCAACATAGGCGTTCATAACCTGGCTGCAACTCAGAAACAAAAACATCATGACTCAAGTACTCACAATAAATATCACTACTCGAAAAAAGCCATATATTTTATTATTAACAGTTCTTAGAAATGAAAAAGTACATCAATTAACTCAGGCCAATCAGAACATGAGTTGCCAAACACAATGTAAACCAGTAAGGATCCTGCCAAGATTCACACCATTTGGTTCATCCATTGGATTTTAACCTAGTTCATCACACTAGTATGGGGAAATTGTGGTAGATAGAATCTCCAAAACCCAAGAGATTTGAACATGGCTAGCTAAACTAGTAAAACTACAACCATCTTTTAAGTTTTAATTGAGTCTATATCTCTCAATCAATTTACTTTAGACCTTGGTTCCTTACTCACATAGTCACATGCATAACTTTAAAATTATCACTGATAAACCCATTTTAAAACCAAAAGCACACTAAATGATTGAGTCCTTTGCTTTGGACAGAGTTGCTCAAAATGTTTAATAAAAATGACTTTTTTCAACTTCAAAACCTTATACCACTGTTTCTCCTAACATACTTGTCATATATGGATTTAGCTCAGAAACATTTAGAATTTTATTCTTACACTGTACGGCGACTTATTTCCTATGAAATGATCTTTTAGAATTATCACAGAGCTCTAGACATTCTGCCGACTCGAGCAGTTTTTAATGGTTGTATAAGCAAAGCTTTTACCAAAACAATGAGATTAGGATTTTAGGCAGCCTGGATCATTTGCAATCCTTGAATATGGTTGGAGAAAAATATCCATAAGTGTTGCGATCTCAGATTCTCGGATATGGAACTCTCACTTCCTCCTGGCTGTACTTACACTATTTCCCATCAAATGAAATTTATTTTCCTATGGAAAATATATATAAAAGAGCACTTTCAAATAAATAGATAAACAAATAAAATCATTATAAGTACCTTCTTCCATTTTGCAATTAGATTGCGGTCAGCGTATCCTTGATCTAAGCAGAATTCATACAATTCTTTAGAAATTTCCTTTCTCTTATAGTAGAGGTCATATACATAGCGGCTCTTCTGGTGTGCAATTTTAAATATAGGCCACAAAGTCTCACACTTTCTTTTGCCGTCATGTGGATCATTCTCAGCTGCCAAATAAAGTATATAACAAAATTACTTTGAAAGATTTCAGAATGAAAAAGAATATAGTAAGGACTGCATAACATATAAGATTCCAACCTTCCCTCATCTTGGCTTGAAGTTCGCGAAGTGTAGGCTCAATTAACTCCCAGCCTTCTGGGTATTTAACTCGGCTTGTCTTTACTTTAGGCATTTTTATCTGTCAAAGGAAAATATGATATCAAAGGGTTAATTTACATTCATTCCAGGAAGTGAAATAAATGGAACTTCAAAGGGACAAATTATGATAGATCTATTTTACTACTACTGTTGATGTTGAGGAAGTGGATTTATCGGCAAAGACTCACCTTTGTGTGGGTGTCTTGCTACAATAGAAATAACCATTATCAACCTCTTGTAGCAAAGGTTAACCATTCAATTGATTCTTCATCTGCAAGACACCCACATCCAATTGATTCTTCGCCTCAGCCAAGTACTAGAGTGAGAGGAACAGGTAAAATGTGCATGTTTTGAAGAACAATTTAAAACCCTAACCCTAATAATTAAAACGAGGCTATTGTTGCAATTCACACGCGCCTATAGAACAGAGTAATGAGAGGGAAAGTAAAAACTAACCCTCAGAGGAGAATAAACACGGAAGAGCGGTGGTTGGGCGCACAACTGCCGAAGGGATGGGTTGGTCGGTCTACTAGGCGACGGCCGAGAAGAAGAGAATATATCAAGAAATACCTTCTTTTTTTTCTTTTTAGCTAGGAGGGCCGAAGCCCAATATCAAGAAATACTTTATTCGATACACAATCCATTCATTCTCAGATTAAATGTTTTTTTTCTCTTTCTATAGCCTTTTAATTTTAATTCTCGGTAAAGATTTTTAATTTATTAAAGAGAATTTCTTTCTCCACCTTGTTGTTGTTTTTTTTTGTGTGTAGGTTTTTAGCGAAAAATCCAAAATATCATTGGATGTGCATATTCAAACGCATCGTATTTGTTAAGAAAATGTGTTTTCACATATGCATATCCGAAGTCATTTTATTTTGTCAAGAAAATGTGACTTTGCATGTACATATCTAAATCCACTTCATTATTTAACACTTCGGATATACACATCTGAAGTCATTGAATTGTTATTAGGACCGCAAACAGAACATAGAATCCATTTGTTTACGAACCCATTAGCCTTATTTTTCTACTTAAAACCCTTAATTTCTACTATCCAAACTTGGATAACCTACTCATTTCTACTCATTCCAACTCATCTCCTCATTTCTACTCATTTCAAGTTATTCCAACTCATCTCCAAATCACCAAATTTGTGTAAGTTTTCTCCATTTCCATTTGACTCGCTTTGCAATGCTATAATAGTTTATTAGGTTAGTTAGAATCAATGACATTGAGTAGGTTGATGTTAGAGTAGTTAAATGTTGGTGTTTGGGTGATAAAAAAAGATTTTTGGATGATTTAGGGCAAAAAGAAGAAGAAGAAGCTATCTGAAAATGGCATCGCAGGTGGTTTTAGATGTGCACATCCGAAATCCTCCCTGACTAGTTTCGGATGTGCACATCCGAATTTTTGTCTGAGTTGATTTTTTTAAACTCAACATATTAACAATTATCATTTTTCAAGAAAATGGCTGACAACAAGGACCCGAACAATCGATTGAGACAAGACCGGCCAAGTCAGACTGCCTCTGCTCGGCGTGAGAAAGCTAAGCAGCAGGCTAACAGGCCTCGAGGACGGTGTTGGGTACGACGGGAGGAAGTGCCTGGAGGTTCAACTTTTACATCGAGGAGTCGCCTATCTCAGGCGTCTACCTCTCGTACGCATGAGTAGATACCCGATGTGGAGGAGTGTAATACGGTGGAAGAACTGACTTTTAGATTTTTCATTTTATCACAAATGTTGTGGATAGTAAGAGTCGCCACCGACTTTTCTTTTAGCCAATAAAGGAAAGGGTGAAAAGAACAGGAAAGACCTTTTGAGAATTTTCTGAGTAAGGGGGGTAAGTTATGAAAAGGGAAGGTGTTGGCACCCTTTTCATCCGTAGTTTTCTACGGGCTCTTAATAACTATCTCACTTTTGAAATGCTTTGTGTTTGAAAATATTTTGAAAACGCCTAAGTATGAAAATTTTGTAATAATTCTCGTATCGTTGAGAATGTATACAAAATGTTTATTTTGAAAATATTTATTGGAAAAGTGTTATTTTGTGATCGTTTTGAAGATGCCAATGTAAGGCAGTCTGCTTTATAGTAACCCTTGTATCAATCATCAAGAGTGTTTATAAAACATTTTGAAAGTAGTTGTTTTTGAAAGTGTGAGATGTAAAAATTGTTTTAGTTTGTGAGCAAGCGATTACGAGAGATCTACCTACTCAAAAAGTCTTTGTTCTTTTCCTCCTCTTTTAGATAGTGTTTCCCTACCATTAGTTAGTAGGAAGCCCTATCATTGGATGTGAGGGACAGGCGCGAGTCATTGTACAGTCATAAAAGACAATTTGTAGGTCGCTTTAGCAATTTTTCGTAAGGGACTAAGATCGTTTATCGAAGGTAGCATCGAAGGGTCATCGAGGGACTATGATCATTTAACCGAGGGTCTTTGCTAAAGGAGCCAATGTTCGAGGGACATAACAGTTTTTCATCCGAGGCAATAAGTGAGGGTCACCCTAGAGGTACGCGTGTGTGAAGTGTTTTGATTTCAGTTATTTTTGTCTTGAATTTAGGTTTTCTAACGTTTGTTTTTTATGTCTTGTCATGCACGCCTAATTACTATACAATCAAATATATACATGCATTCATACATAATTGTGGAAAGTAAAAATAAGGGAAATAATCTATGATATTACATCACTTCGGGGATGGGGAGTACAAACCATAAAATGGGGAAAGGTAAAGAAATCCTAATTTAAACTATTACATCCCTTTGACAGTTACAAAATTATATTAATGCGAAAAAATAAACGAACGCACGGAGATAGTGTAGAAGAGAAGATATTTAAGACCTAAAAAATTCTAAGGGTTTAAGAAAATATTTTTGTTGTTTTTTTTTTTAGAAAAATATTTTTAGTGATTAAACCTAATTCTAGTTAATTTTTAATAAAATAAAATCAAAGTAAATAATTTACTTTTTTATTTATCAAAAATTAAATTAATTAATTAAAAACTTAAATCTCATTTTTTTTATGATTTTATGATTTTTGTTGATTAAAATAAACTGATTAGAAAAAGAAAATGTTAATTAAAACAAGATAAAGAGAATTAAAATGGGCCTGTAAACAAGTGAAACAGGAGTGAGAAAGAAGCAAAAATATAGGCCCAAACTAGACAAAGCCCAGGTCTGCGCTAGATCCAATGAGGGTGGCTTTTAGAAGGTGTATCATGGGGTGTGTGTTTGGTGCGTTGGATATGTCTTTGATGAGATCTGATGGTCAAAGACTGGAGATGCTTGGTGCACGTGTTGGGCTTGTTCATACTGAATCTGCAAAGAAAAATGTTAGAAAATAAAATGCCAGAGGCAGGGATCGAACCCCTGCCCTGGCACACCAAAGCCTTTGCACGCTTCTTCCTACTGTTAGAACAGTTGTTTCATCATGTGATAAGGTGCGATAACTGACTTGGGTGTTTTGCGTTTTTATCACAAATGTTGCGGATAATAAGAGTCGTCACCTACTTTTCTTTTATCCAATAAAGAAAAGGGTGAAAAGCACAGGAAAGACCTTTTAAGAATTTTCTTGAGTTCGAGGGGTAGGTTATGAAAAGGGAAGGTATTAGCATCCTTTTCATCTGTAGTTATCTATGGGCTCTTAATTGCTAGCTCATTTTGAAATGCTTTGTGTTAGTGTAAGTTTGAAAATATTTTGAAAAACGCCTCAGTACGACAAACTTTGCAATGATTCTCGTATCGTTGAGAATGTATATAAAGTGTTGGTTTTTACAATATTTGTTGAAAGGAGTAATTTGGAAAGATGTTTTGAAAATGCCAATGTAAGGCAATTTTGTAATGATTCTCGTATCTTTGAGAATGTATACAAAATGTTTATTTTGAAAGATATTTTGAAAGTGTGAAGTGTGGAAATGGTTTTGTTTATGAGCAAGCAATTACGAGCAATCTACCTACTCAAAAAGTCTTTGTTATTTTCCTCCTCCTTTAGATAGTGCTTGACTATCATTAGTTAGTAGAGAGCCTTATCATTGAATGTGAGAGACGGACGTGGGTCATCGTACAGTCATAGAAGGAAACTTGCAGGATGCTTTAGCAATTGTTGTAAGGGACTAAGATCGTTTACCGAAGACAACATTGAAGGGTCATTGAGGGACTACGATCTTTTAATCAAGGGTCTTTTGCTAAAACATCCCACATTCGAGGGACGTGACTGTTTATATCTGAGGCAACAAGTGTGGGTTACCCTAGAGGTGCATGTGTGCAAGTGTGTTGTGATTCAAGTATTTTATCTTTGAATTAGGGTTTTGCTAGGGTTGATTTTAGTCTTGTCATGCAAACCCTAATTACTAACAATAATAAGGAAAACAATAAATTGTGGAATTTAAATGTTCTACGCTATTACAACGCTTTGGGAATGTACATGTTTGTGAATAGGGGGAAGAAAGCAACAAAGCTTTAATTACTATTACAAACCATTGAATATGAATTACAATAATAATGCACAAAATGTAAAGATGAAGAAGAAAAAGGAATTGTCTTTAGGGTTTTTTGATAGAGAAAAAGGTTTGAGAGTTCATCTATTTTAAACTAATTAATTAATTACAAGAAAAAAAAAGTTAATTAGTCTTAACAAAAACCTAAAATCTAAGTTAATTGGAATTAAGAAGAAAAACAAAACCTAAGTCTAATAATTTTGTTTATAAAATAAATTGAGTATTAGTGTTAATATTATTTTGTAAAAGAAATAATAAAATTTAATTTAATAAAATAAAATATTTACATTAAAATATTTTTAATTTAATTATTTAGGATAATATTTTTTTTATATTTTTGATTAAATAAAATAAATAATAAATAAAGAGATAAAGAAAATATAAAGAATTGTGAAAAACAATGGGCTTAGGGGTTTAAAAGTGAAATAGGGGTTGAAAAGCAAAATGGGGCGCTGGGCCCAAAATATATATTTTGGTTTAAATCAGAAACAATAAAAAAATAAAAATGGGCTTGTGTTTTAGTAAAAGAGAGGGTATGGGGA